CTGGAATCGACGGAATTGATATTGCAATATTAAATATATCATATGAAATACATGTAATGTAATAAAAGGCGAGCAATGAAATGGAAGAAGGTCAAGGCCTAACAGACGTTAGGCCTTGACGTTATTTCAATTTGATTTTTTAAGCACGAACAGTAAATCTTGTCTTGCCGTTTTTATTTCCATAATATATATATATATATATATATATATATATATATATATATATATATATATATATATATATATATTAGTCGACTCTCCCGTCGAGATTCGAGGTATGAGGGTCAAGCAGATCAGTTTCAAGAAACTGACAGCCCGACAACAGCACATGAGATTTGATTATAGTGGTGAAAGTTTCGTGCGGGACCATCCATAATACGAATACAGAGAACTGGTGCACTAAGTGCCACAACGACCCTCTGCAGGTTTTGAATTCAGTGTTGTCCCTCTCCTAGACCAGTTGCCATCCAAGGCTATAGTCTGTCCTGCCATTTTACCCATAGCTGGAGGGAGAAGAAGAAGATTCATACCTTTCCCAAGGGTATTAGCACGTAAGTGAATGTATTGGATTCGACTGGAATTCAAACTCGGCTCTACGATTCCTCAATCCAAGGCGCTATCCATTGCTATATATATATATATATATATATATATATATATATATATATATATATCAATTAAATTTAAATCATTTCACACAAGCAAGGTAATAAAGCCACTAACATGCAAGGGGGGGGGCTCAATGAGAGTCAGAGAATATGAGAAAAAATAAACCTTATTAGGAAGATTGGACAATAAAAGAAAAAAAATGTGAAAACCGAAGTAAACGATTTGCATTGCTTTTAAATTTTTCATGAGAAAATTTGATTGGAAAGCAAAAAGGGAATTTCACAATGGAGAAGTTCGAGAGAAGAAGCTCCTAGCAAAGAAATGTCGGGTACATATAGGTATTGCAACTGTAAAATTATGAGATATTGATGCCAATCTAGCAGTACGCTCAAATTCATTTTACTTTTCATTGAATAACGACACAGACGCGAGGGGAAATTATGATTTTTAACATTTTTCTCACCTTGCTTTGATTTTGATTATTGACCTAATAATATGCAATAATAATAATAATGATAATTATTGTTATCGTTTTGTCGTTTAAAAAAAAAAAATTCCATTGGCCGACTATATATAGTAATGCCACACTGCAGACTAACAGACGATGAAGCCGTTTTCCCAACAGGCTTAGCTGAAAATTTGTAGTATTTTATCATACAGTATGAAGTAAAAAAAAACTATAAAAGCGTAAGTAAATTAAATTCTCCTTGGATCCGCTGATAAACCACATCTGCGTCCAGGGTAAGACGATAAACTACGTCCAATAGCAAGGCCCCTGATCAGGAGGTTTTGAGGAGCGTTGAACCACCACTTAATTGCTGGTGTTCCTATGTCCACCTTGACCCGGTGTGGTAGCACCTGTTAGGGTCCCATCTATCGGCAAATAGTTAACCCCCTAAACTGAAGTATGAAAGTGTAAAAATAGGTTTTAATACCAGAAATAAATTGTAAAAAATTATTACCAGAAATAAATTTTTCAAGAAAAAAATAATATTACCAGCAATATATTTTTAAAAATAATATTACTAGCTATACATTTTTGAGGAAAAAAATATTACCAGAAATAAATTTTTGACAAAACAAAATATTACCAGGAAAATAAACTTGTCGGCATTACATAACCCATTGAGGTTAATATGCCGTAAAACAAAATAAACCAAACCAAAATCCTTGGATCCATGTTTGTTTCTCTCTAGAATGCGGACACTGATATCACAACTGTAATGATAGATGCACCAAATATCTTATGTATATCCTGTGATGGAGACAACCTATGCTTTACATCGCTAGCCACATCCAGTATTAAACAAATACACAGACAAGACATATCTGCCATTGCTCCTATTTGTTATTCTTGTCTGCGCAACGATATTGGTTTTAAAATCCAGCAGGTATTTGGGAGAAAACTTGCCTCGCTCGAGGTTCGTAACTGCTGATCGGCATATTAGCAGACTGTATCTAAATATTCTATCAAATTCATATCAATGGGACAAAGGTAAGATTCGATTGATACATATTTGATAGAAAAACTATTTAGATACGGTACTACGCACCCAAAAGATTTCAGGAGAGTGATCGAAACATCTGTTTAGACCATTTTAAAAAAAAAATAATTGATAACGCATTTTCCGCTGAGAATTTATGGGTTAAATAAGTCAATAATATCACTGAGTATTTATCGTTCCACCCACGAGGACCGAATATGGCACAAGGCCGGTTTTAATGTGGGTATCCACGAGCCCGTAGGCCCGGCCAAAAATATAGCCTTTGAACCCGCCTTGACGGGTTCAGGCCCTGTCTACTTCCCGGACGAAACCCCGCCCTTCGGCAAAGCCTCGTCCGGGTTCCTCTCTGCTAACGCAGAGTTCGACAGAAGGCGCGCACAGTCAGAGACCACGAGACGTCACTGATAATATAATAAGAATATCACTGAGAAAACATGGAAAAACAGTTTTAAAAACAAATGCCACACTGGAAAACAAAACTAATTTAAAATGAAGAGACCGCCTTTGTTTAAATGCGGAAAAAATAAGATTGAAAAAAAAAGCAAATTAGCACGCGACTGATTAACTTATTGCGGAAAAGCTGAAGATTTTTCTACATGCAACAACGAAAGGCACTTCATTGTTTCACAAAATTAGAGAGGGAAAAAGTTTTAAATTAACAGCTAAATTTTATTTGAAAAAAAAAAAAATACAAATGCTTCGCTGCTAAAATTAATCCTCAAAAATTTTAATTCAATGCCAATGTATATTTACTGTCCTCCTGATTACTCTTCTTTTGTTCTAGATGCTTAGTAATGTTTCTGTTTTCTAATTCTTCCTCACGCAGTAACTCTTTGTGTCTTAGTGGCTTTACTGCCTTGCTTGGAGTGAACGCGATTAAAAATTATTAATGAGTTTTCATAAAATGTGCTAGTTAGAAAGGCAGTAGAACACGATAAGAATTTCCTACCGAATTTTTCGGAGAAAATTGACCATGACAAATATTAATTAACCTATCACCAAGTATCCATCGTCTGCTTCGGAGTAACACTCTTGATGATGTTAACAGTGGTCTCAAAATGTACTGCTCCTATAAAATAACAGCAAATATCCATGCTGCATTCAAATCATCTGGTTTAGAGTGGAGTGACAAGGACAAATTTCAACAACCGATTCGAATAGTTGTTCTACTTGAAAGAAATATGATGTTATGTGTGCAGTGGAATAGTGATCGTTGGGGTATTATTCATTTGAATTTCGTAAGATACAATTAAAAAATGCGAATTAATACGTCTCGTAGCTGCAAGGTGTTCATAAATGTTTAGTCGAAGAGCGCCTTACACTTTTCAATAGAAACATATTTTATCACCTCCATGATAACGAAGGCTGCATAGAGCAAGTTTAACAGTGGTAAAAAAAAAAAAAAAAATTGAACTTCGTTGGTCTCTACTGCTCATCTCGGCCTATTCACCTGACCTTGAACAAACCAGTTAATGCTTTTTCCGATCGCTGCAAAACGTGTTGATGGAGAAAACCTTCTCTGAAGAAAAATGATTCAAGAATTCGTCCAAATATCACTTCCGAACATGTGGAGTATTACTCAAAATTTACTTTAATCGAAGATCTGCTTTTTATGACTGATTTGTTTGTATGGCTTTTCAGCCATTTTGTGGCTATATAAAATGGGCACATATTTTTGGAGTGTACGAATTTTTGTGGGATAAAACTGATTTATTGATAAATTTGGAAACGTTATATTGTATATTAATAGGAGACGGCGAAATAGTACATAAAAAAGTAAACGCAAAGAGATAGCGAATCGAAGGGGGTGGTAACTGTTAAGGGGTCCACCCCTTTTTCATAAAAGTGGACTCACCCAGTGTGTACTTGTACTGCTGCCGGTGAATACCCGGGAGTAATAGAGTGACAGTAAGAGAGAGTGATACAGTGAGTGTGTGAGGTAACCGCTTTTTAGGAGTCACAGTTGCGAGCACGTAGACGCTGAAGGAAGTCATACTTCGATACTGAATTTCCCAGACTATATATATATATATATATATATATATATATATATATATATATATATATATATATATATATTGTTATTGCTACTAAGCGCATTTCTGGATCTACTAACCGTATTACCAATTGTATTATTGCGTCAATATATTTATTTGCTATATTTCATTCCTGCATTTGTCCTTCATTTGAGACCGGATTTCATCGCGGAATCCACAAAAGTAACTTTATATAAGTAAGTGTAAAAGAGAAAAAAAAAACATTTTTACAATGTTATAAATATAGAAATAGGAGAAGACAAGTTTAAGGTTGACCACTTTAACGTTGTTAGTTATGGTGACACACAGATCGTGTTCTTTAAATAAATTAATACAGTTTTTTCTTAATCGATTTGCTTTTTCTGCGCCTGCTTCAAACATCAGGATTATACCGTTGTCTGTATAGAGTCTGGTGATTTTTATATCGACGATGAACCTTAGTCTCCAAAGTAGTAGAATTCTAATTAATTCCCAAGCCTCCATCAAGTCAAAAGCACCCATAGCAATGCAAAAATCTAAGTTGTTTCGATTAGTCCACAAGAAACCGTTTTGGAATAGGATTGAGCTTTGTGGCTGTTTTATAATATTAATGTCATGGTGGCTTATGGGGCAGTAATTGGTAGCTTCTCGGTGATAGACGGTATATATAATAAAATTTGAAAACGATCCCCTACCTATCGTGAAAGATGAACACATGATATTTGAGATTTGGGAAGAAGAGAGGTGCATTCATATCATTCCTAAAGGTATTTTCATTTAACTGAATATAAGAAACCTGACTGGATTTCGAACACGATTCTTCGAGTTCTCATTTCGAGCTTTTATTCATTACAACACCCACGTATTAAAGCTTACATCACCTGCTATTCCCAGAGCCGTCACCCATCTAGTTACTGAGCCGGTTGAACGCTGCTTAACTTCAATGTTCGAACGAGAACCAGTGTATCCACGTCATATGGCCATAAGTAGCGACATGTCATGGCAAAGAATTGTGCTATATCTATATTTCAATGATGTACGTATTCTGAGTAGCTACATATATAGGACACACCAGATATTCTCAAGTGGAACCTGCCATGCCACGCACAAAATGATTAATTATTAATTATCCCCATACATGAATAAGTAGGAAGTGAGTTCCACACGGAAATCTTCTTCCCAAGAACTGTTTCTTTTTGAAAATGACTCTCGGCAGAATTTGTTCTCAATCACTGCACACTTGACTACTTCTTATCTTCATTTTTTTTCCTTTTTGTACGTTCATACGGCATGAAACAGCAAGTCTCTTACTTGAATGTCTCTTATGCCTTGCACTTCGTGAATATTGATATTAAAAATAACAGTGTCATCCGTTTATTCTATGTTGTTAAGATTATATCCAATGATCATATTTTCTGTTGGCTCTTTTATTTATCATATGACTAGCAGCATGGCCTGGCGTTGCCCGTGCTTGATTTAAAAATCGTACGACTCATACAGCAATCGCTATCACTTGACTTCTCATATTTTTGCCCTTCCTTGCCTTTAAAGGAGTGTCCTTTGTCGTGCTAATGTTGCTACATGCCTTACTTCTTGCCTATCTCACACTGAGAATTTTTTCTAAGCTCTATACTAAACATTAAATCTATTACGAAAAAAGAACTAAACAAAATGAACACAAAACGATCAGCTTTAAAAAAGGAATCGTAACTGGAAAAACCGAATGAAAAAGAATGTTAACAAAAATACTTTTTCACATCCAACCCAGTTCTGCGGAATCAGAATCAACGTTGAGTTTAAGCAAACGAATGAGCCAATTGAAGTAAAGTGCCATGCAGATTTAAATTTTTCCCACTTGTGACGAATGCAGCTATCGATTTTTTTTGCATGCTAGCATGCTAGATAACATTCGTGTCAGTCAGCTGTTGGCTCTCACGCTGGCCAATAGAATCTTCCTGCCTATTCGTGGCAGCCAGCTATAGGCTCTCACTCTGGCCAGTAGAAAATAGCCGCAAAGTACATGAAAACTGCTGTAGAAGAAAGAAAAAATCGATTACTTCCACTATTGATGGAAGTTGGGAAATGCAAAGTCGGTCTTGGCCTTTCCGCTAACTTGGAGCATGTGCATGTAAATGTTGGTGCAAATCCATCGAAAATTGCGGCCGTGCATTCGTTACACACACATACACATCCTGCCTTTTATAGATAGAGATAGTCACACTGAATTTGTTGAATTAATCCGCTGAGTAAAGGCGTTCTGGTTTTCCCCTCCCTCTTTTTATAAATTCTGATTTATTTCACTTCCAAATATTTATGCATTCACTAAACTCATTTACTATGAGTATGCGGATTATTTACAGGATTGGAATAATTCTTTCGGCAATGATGTAGATATAAATGCGCATGCCCAGTCGAATGAATTGTGAAAAAATGTCGAGTTTTAAGACTGTAACCCGAGACGTAAATAGAACCATAAGAAAATTGCTGGAACCTGTTTGGGTTCGTTTCAGGCGCCAGGGAATATTTCTAGCTTTCTCACAGGAGGAATTCCCCATGATACTTAGGAGTCTGGTTGGTATAAGTAATTTAATATTGCTGTTTTCGAACTCGAAATTATTTTTAAAAAATGAACAAGGAACAAATGTGCTTAGGTGAGCAGTTCATGAAGTCAACAAGAATGTTGGTGAATTTTTTCGGAGGTCGTGCATAATTTCAGGGATTCAAGTTACGCAATGATCCGTTTAGTTTTGGATAATATGGAATTTTCCTTTTCTACCCTAACCTCCATATTCCGCTGATATTGTACCAACAAATCATTACACTTCTTCGTTCTTCGCAAAACGAATAAAGAAACGATATAATTGTTTGAATTTGTCTCTTGGTAACTTTTTTCTTTTTGTAAAAAAAAAAAAAAAATGAAAAAATAAAAAAAATAAAAGCAGAATTTTAAAATTCAAACAGCAGTAATGATTAATCCACTTCTCAAAATTTCGAATTATGATGCTATATATTTCATTTAAAATAATGCAAGGATTAGTTTATATATATATATATAATCTGTTAATAGATCGGAAAAATACCGTACCACAACACGGACGTAAGTAAAAAAAAAAAAAAATTACTCGATGCAGATACATTAAAAAAGGACATACGGTTTCTCCTGAAGGTCGAAACATAGTTTGCCAGTTTGTGTGCGGTTATATTAATTGTTTTTCCTTTATATATATATATATATATATATATATATATATATATATATATATATATATATATATATATATAACAAATACGAATAGATCTGAAAAAATCTCGGTCGGAATGCTTACCTTACAATGTGGATGTCTGTGAAGCGATTCTATTTTCTTGCCACCCTGTCAGGATGTGACACAAAGTAAATTTTATGTGGGGTGCCGGGCAGAGTGCACCCGTGCCAGGTCCAAAAATAACCCAGTTCCCGCGCAACCGTTGCTAGCATCGGTATTATTACAGAACCCCACTCATTTCGGCATTGACTTAGGTACTACCGCGATAAGACACCTCTTAATAATATTTTCAGTTACGGTCTTCCTGCAAAGAGAGACACAACTGAGAAATTAATGAAGCTCCTCCACCCGAGGACAGATACTGCACATTCATCATCATCAATAGCTTTTTTTTTTAGTTGTATAGTATGTGCTACGCCAGGATTACATACATTTTTGAATTTAGAGTTACATTCTCCTAGACCGGTTGACACCCAAGGCTATAGAATTCAGTCTGTACTGCAATTTACCCATAGCTAGAAGAAGACGAGGATTCATACCTTTCTTAAGGGTATTAGCTCGTAAGTGAATGTAATGCATCCGACTGAAATTCGAACTCGATCTCTGATTCCAAAATCCGAGCCTCCAGATCGAGAAGCGAGAAGAACGTTGCAAACAATTATTTCCTAAGAACAGTTTAGATATGACACAAGACCCAAAGTAAGCATCTCCTGGTGAGGATCGAACTCAGTACTCATAAATATTCTATCGAGGCAAGCTTGGTAAGTAGTGTTCCCTATCTTCTGGCCTTATCAAATCGTTCAGTCATTTGATATTAACCTCTGTGACTGAGACTAGAATATTGTGCAATATCATTCGCATAAAGAAACAACTTTTCCGCCCAATGAGTCTCGGCCAAAGTTCGCCCCCTTCAATCGACCAACTTTGTCTGCCCATGTCAGAACTACTTAGAGCCTCTATCATCTTTTATTAAAGTCTTTATCCGGAATGGTATTTATTTGCAAACAGTGATCTTCCCACGTTTCGCTAAGTTTTTATCTAGGAACCTTCAAACAGATATATGCTTTGTGCCTACGCAAATGAAACAACCTTTTTCGGAACTGGACTCGCATTACCGGCATATTTAAAGGTTAAAATACCTCTAGTGGCACCGAAAGGAAATATACGTCGAAAATTTTTTAAAACGAAGCGAATCCCTTTGATAGCTAAACGCTACAAAGGAAATGAAATTTACTTTTCTCGTATAATTGATTTTTGTATTTATTTATAGAAATGAATATAAATGAGAAGAAGTTAGAATGATTTATTTTCAAAGTGAAATGACTAATGATTTCCGTAATTTCAATAAAGATGAAAAGAGAAAAAAAATGAATATATTTTTATTTTTATGGTATATTCTGTCAGATTAGTTCCTGAAAATATTTCCAGATAAAGAGATTGTTTGCTTTAGATATGATTTAACCTCTCGTCTTTCTCTCTATCTATCTATCTAATTGTACAATTGAGGAGTTTTTTTTGCATCCGCTCATTTTGTTTTTGCTAACTAGCAACAATAGTTTACTTTTGTGATAATATCTAAACGACATTTAAAAGTAGTTTCATCTGAATTCAAACCTAGGTTCATCGACGCTTGTTGTGCCAAATGTAAATTTTTGGTTCAATTTTACTTTTAAATTGCCTTGACTGTGTTTGTGGTAGCACTGGAAAAATAAACCTAAGAAATCCTAAATTAGGTAGTATATGTATTTTCTAAACGGAACTTAGATGTTTCACAAAGCTGAAATCATAGAGCAATCAGTGAGAATCGAACTCACTATTTTGTCTTAATTGATCGAGCGATACGCATTATATAGGAAAGTGAGAAGAAAGGACTAATTGTCAATTTTGTAAGAAGGGAGAAAGTGTAATCTTAAACAAGTAGGACAGTGGACGAGGCAAGCTATGAATTAAAGTCGCCCAGATCAAATAAGTCCAGGAATGTAAACATTTAGGAACTGCTTAACAAACATCAGAGAATGTGTCTGCGAAATGCGATGACACAGTTGAATGGTAAAAATGTTTCTGGAATCTAAAGAAAATATTTAAAAAAATAAACATTTAGTCAGAAACAAAGTTTTGGTTTTAGATTGAATTTTTGTTTGTTTGTGTTTTTAAGTTTTATCAACCCTTTGTTGGTTATATAATGCCGAAAATTATTTTGGAATGTAAGAATATTTTTTTACAGGTGAATATCGCATTAACACTATTTTTTCGGTGTCAAATATTTCTATTTAACCCATAGTTGGGAGAAGTTGTATTTATTTATAGTGTTGTGGTAGGATCCACCTAATTTGCATAGTGGAGTACCGACCATATAAATATGGTTGGTACCGGGAAGAGAGGGAGGAATCAAGAAATTCATTCTCAGTCGAACTCTCTGCATCTTGCAGTGAGGGACCCGGGCGAAGCTTTGCCGAGAGGCAGGGTTTCGTCCGTGGTGGTAGACAAGCCTTGAACCCGTCAAGGCGGGTTCAGAAAGGCCATATTTGTGGCCGAGCCTACGGGATCGGAGATACCCACTTTAAACCGGCCTTGTGCCACATTTTATCCTCGTGGGTGGATAGATAAATACAGGAATCAAGAGATTCAACCAGAGACTCTGCCCGACTGCGACTCAGTCAACACATTCTCCAGGAACGGTCTTACCAGGAATATACAAAAGACTATATGTAAATATTGTGTA